ATCTTCATTCCTTTTATTTCTTTCTCTTCTCTTATATTCCTGTTCAACACTTCTAATGTTAAGACAAACAACAAGGGCGATAGTGGACAACCTTGTCTCGTCCCTTTTGTTATGACTATCTGTTCTGTTAAATCTCCATTTATCATAATTTTTGCAGTCTGCTTGTGATATATTGTGATATATCGCCTCTAAACATATTGTTAAGCAAACTTTTGATGAGACATAGAATGAAATATATACCTTTCTTCCAGAAATGCAGAAGACTGGGTAAAGATATGTAAATACATATTTTGAGTTTGGCTCTCTATTTTAAGGTACAACCTACCCTTCAGGAGTCTACACATTCAAATAACTGCACACTTACTTTCTGTAGTTCCTGATCATTTTCCAGCTGATACAAGAGGTTGCTTTTTATGTCTATGCTTATCTGTTCTGGTGTAGCCTGTAAACAGAAGATAATTAAGTGTATAGTTCACCTATTTCCAAAGAAGCATTATGTATACTTCAGAATGGTGCATGTGCAGTACAGGATGAGATACACATTTTTATATAAATAGAAATAAACAGGAAAAACAGAACTTGTGATGATAAGCAAGAGACTTATGAGAAGCTACAAATTGTAGACTTACATATGCCAGAGGACCCTCATCAATATTGCAGCTAGTCCATGGATTCCAGTTTGACTGTGGCGGGGACCATGGCACAACTCCCATTTGATTCTGTTTTTGGGATGGTTCAAAGTGAGCTAACTTTCCAATGCTGAGCAGAACAGGTGATTGGGGATCCTCAGGCTGCCAAGTTAAAAAAAAAAATCTAAAACAATTCTACCCAAGTAGGAAAGAAAACAGAATGTATTACTGAACACATACTCACCGGTGAAATTACTTCAAGACCCATATCTTCTATAATTCTTTGCAGCTGGTTTTCCAAATCAGAAGTGAGACTGACTTCATAAGGCTCTACCTATTGGAGTATCCAAAATAGTCATATAAAATTAAGCTCAGACAATATAAGAAATCAAATACTTGAAATATTTACTAGCACTCTAAAAGATGCATAGAAAAAAGTTATGGAGTATTCTTGGCCCACAACACAACAATTACCTAAAACCATTCACATATATACCTTAAAAAACAAATATTAATGGACCATGTTAAAACCTAATACATTTAGAGAACTTAAACAAGAGCAATAAAAATGGAAGCAGAAAGCATACACATGCTTCTAGGTACTGAAAAGGAACATCATAGCAGGAAACACTTCTAATATATTTTATTTTACATACTTGACTTTCCAAATGTCTTCTTGGCTGATGTCATATTGGAAACATCTTATTACCCACTATAGTTATTAATTTAAATTTTTGTTTCTTTAGCCCACTACTGAAATACTTTTTATTTCCCCAGGAAAACAGAAGGGCAACACAACATCATGACTGTTTACGTAAGAGAAACTTTACACCTGGTTCCACAGATTGCTAAATCATATACAGATAGTTCTTGGCTTACATCCATTTGTTCAGTGACTGTTCAAAGTTACAGTGGTACTGAAAAAATGGACTTATGACCAGTCTTTGAAGTTCCGGCTGTTGCAGCAGCCCTGCGGTCACATGATTGCAATCGGGTGCTCAGGTGCCCAGCTCATGATTACGTCACAGCAAGCCATGGTCACATGATCACTATTTGCGAGCTTCCCTGCTGGTTTCCCATAAGCAAAGTCTATGAGGAAGCTGGCAGGGAAGGTTGCAAGTTGCTCCTGCTGCTTTTTCTCCCAAGGAGCCTGCTAGAGAGTAGCAGATCTTATACTCCGTAGCCCCCCTGCACTCTGTAGCACATGCCTGCCCACGTCCTCCCTCAGCCCTCCCAGGGCCTCCATCAGCGTGCCCGTGTTCCGTAGCACCTGCCCATAGCACCCCCATGCTCCTTGCCTGGAACTCCCACCTCTTCCCACTTAACGACCCGCACAGTCTTGGAGTTACAACAGCAACCAGGACTGCCATCACTAAGCGATGTGGTCATGTGATGTTGTGCTTTATGACCACATTGCTTAGTGACAGCAATCCTGGTCTCAATTGCCATTGTAACCCAAAGACTACCTGTATGCACATTTACTTGTATCCTGCTTTTCAGGAGTACAATATTCCCAAAGAGAATTACAAGTAAGATAAACAATATATACCAAAGAACCAGTTACAGAGTATCATCTGCAAAACTCACCGATTCACCTTCCTTCTTCTTGGTTTGTCCAGAATAAGCCTCAATGATGCCCAAATGATAGAGCTGTCTGACCAGAGAAAGAGCACAGGATTGTGCTGCCAGCTTTTTATTTGAGCCATGCTCACGAGCAAAGATTCCTGAAATAGAGGAACTCTACATGTGAGAGTGATTAACCAAAGGCAGTCTTTTGATTCCTTTGCTTTAGAACACTGTTTCCCAACTGTGGCAATTTCCAGGTGTGTGGACTTCAACTCCCAGAATTGTCATTAATGGCTATGCTGGCTATGAAATTTTGGAATTTGAAGTCCACATATCTAGAAAATGCCAAGCTTGAGGAACAGTGCTTTAGAACGAAAAGGTTAAAACACAAGCACAGTCACAAATGCTGAAAATTATCCATGTGTGAGCTTTGAAATTTTAGCGCTATAACAACACATAAAGAAAGCTGTTATCAAAAGGATTTCAGCCACAATTGTACAAACAGACCATAAAAATGATAGCACAGTCTATTAACTTATTCAGGAGTGGATATCCCTTCATTCTTATTTACCCAAAGCAGAGATTAAAAGGAAAAGGAAATTCACAACAATCTCGGATAAGATTAGAGGCCCTTTTTGTTTAGTTCAGTAATTATTCAGTTTGTAAACTACATGTACTGTAGCAGAAATGAAATGTATTAAGTCCATTTTGAAGGACAGGCAATTATGTGCAAGGAACCAGAGAAATATAGAGTATTTAGGAATACTGTCTTTAGATTGGGATATATCTACTGTATTTTTAGTAACAATAAGTAGACAGGGATTTTGTCAGATGTGACTTTTACCATTACTGTAAGTATAGTGACAACTCAAGGAGGCAATGGAGGTGTGGGAAAGGGTATTTCACAGTGTTTTAATTGGCCTAAAAGTTCTTTGGCTGCAAACTCCTAGTCAACATGAAGCATTCTAGTGTACTGGAGCAATTCAGGCTCACTAATTTCTCTAAAAAGAAGACAATTCTTTTAAGTTGGACTGATATATTATCTCATGATGTTCACTCCCAGAAAGACAAGGACTTACTTCTGGCCAGCTGTTTCACATAAATAGTCATTTCTGCAATGAAGCTCCTGCAACACATACAAAGAAGACAACATTAGTACTTTAGTTCTGGGGGATCAAACAAGGGATTTCCAACACATTTAATAAGTGCTGTGATAAAGCCCATTAAAATACAAATATTCATACACTGAATTAGAACTCATGTTAAAATAATTCTACCCTCAAGCAACGCTAAAGAGTAGTTTTTCCAAACATGTACAATCTCACCATGCCTTAGGGGTTAATATACTGCTGAAAGAATTTGGGTTTTGTAGTCTGTATTTCTTCTGAGCAATGATAAAGCTTAGAAGATGAACCATGAAGCTCTCAAATTAATAAGTAATTAGGATTAAAGGATCCATGCAAAATAAAATTTTAGTTTGGATTGAAATACAGTGGGGCAAAAAAGTATTTAGTCAGCCACCAATTGTGCAAGTTCTCCCACTTAAAAAGATGAGAGAGGCCTGTAATTCTTTAAAAATCAGACAATGTGATTTTCTGGATTTTTTCCCCCATTTTGTCTCTCATAGTTGAGGTATACCTATCATGAAAAGAAAATCACATTGTCTGATTTTTAAAGAATTTATTTGCAAATCATGGTGGAAAATAAGTATTTGGTCACCTACAAACAAGCAAGTCTTTAAAAATCAGACAATGTGATTTTCTGGATTTTTTCCCCCATTTTGTCTCTCATAGTTGAGGTATACCTATCATGAAAAGAAAATCACATTGTCTGATTTTTAAAGAATTTATTTGCAAATCATGGTGGAAAATAAGTATTTGGTCACCTACAAACAAGCAAGTCTTTAAAAATCAGACAATGTGATTTTCTGGATTTTTTCCCCCATTTTGTCTCTCATAGTTGAGGTATACCTATCATGAAAAGAAAATCACATTGTCTGATTTTTAAAGAATTTATTTGCAAATCATGGTGGAAAATAAGTATTTGGTCACCTACAAACAAGCAAGTCTTTAAAAATCAGACAATGTGATTTTCTGGATTTTTTCCCCCATTTTGTCTCTCATAGTTGAGGTATACCTATCATGAAAAGAAAATCACATTGTCTGATTTTTAAAGAATTTATTTGCAAATCATGGTGGAAAATAAGTATTTGGTCACCTACAAACAAGCAAGTCTTTAAAAATCAGACAATGTGATTTTCTGGATTTTTTCCCCCATTTTGTCTCTCATAGTTGAGGTATACCTATCATGAAAAGAAAATCACATTGTCTGATTTTTAAAGAATTTATTTGCAAATCATGGTGGAAAATAAGTATTTGGTCACCTACAAACAAGCAAGTCTTTAAAAATCAGACAATGTGATTTTCTGGATTTTTTCCCCCATTTTGTCTCTCATAGTTGAGGTATACCTATCATGAAAATTACAGGCCTCTCTCATCTTTTTAAGTGGGAGAACTTGCACAATTGGTGGCTGACTAAATACTTTTTTGCCCCACTGTATTTACTGGATCCTTTCTGCAAACTAAAAACACACAATAAGCAATCAAAGTCCCAGATCACATAATAAATGCTCAACTAGGATTTTGCCTACCTCTGCCTTTTAACCTAAGAGGAGCCAATATATGATTAGACTGGCTAGATACATACCTTTCTTTCAATAAAGACATCACATCTGTGAAATATCCAAGAAATATAAGCTCGAGTTGGGACTTGCCTCCAATTAAGCAATATATACAGACAGCTCCATGTGTGATTCTTATTTCAGTCTGTTTTGGGATCTGATCAGAGTTAGGAATACTCTTATTTGGCAAAAGACATTTATACTGTGACAATTTACCTAAATGTTCTAGTGAACAAGGTTGTAACACACTTATTTTGACAATGCATTCCATTTTCAAATCCTGTATAAGCCTATCTGCAGATAAGCCGACCCCCAAATATTTGACCAAAATACCATAAAAATGAGCCACCTGAGTATAAGTCAACCCTTGAAATTTTCATATGTTTTAATTTTCACAAATCGCTTATCCAGAGGTGGCACATATTTCACAGTATTTTGGTTAAAAATTCAAAGGTCTGCTAATCCACAGATGGGTTTATCCATGAGTATATACGGGAAATACGGGTACCTTAAAAAAGTATTACTGTATATACTCATGGATAAGCCCATCCACTGATAAGCCAAACCAAATTTTTTGGATGTATTTTGGCACCTAAAACTCTCAGCTTATCCACAAGTATATATGGTATATGCTTGTTCAAAGTCATTTGCTCAGGAGATATCTCTAGCTCCTCAAACATGCATACAAACAGGCTGTTAGTTATTCTAAGGAAATACAATTTAAACATTCTAGGACTGTTAAAGCAGTGTGAGATCAGATATTCAACATCACAGGAGCTAGACAGATCATTCTGAGCATTCCTTCTGGATAGCATTATGAATTAGTCAGGTTTTGCAAAGATCACTAGATTTAAAATCTTGCAGAGACAATCTCCACAGATTTTTTTAAAAGGTAAAATAGTAATTGTAATGCATTATATATTCTTATTACACTGTAGGAAGAATAATTTATATGTAAAGCTAGGTCAAGATATTAGTTATTTCACTGCAGACAAAAAAAAAACCCAAGCTAGATTATGCTAAGAGTTGATTCTTAGCTCCTTCCTAAACCACCAACAAACTGACCTTCAGGCACAGCGGCTTCCTGAGTCAAAAGGCCACTGGCTCTCAGGGACACAACAGCCACCCTTTCATTAATGACACCGATGCCAGTATGTTTCTCAGCCAGGCTTAAATTCAGCACTCAATTCGTATCCTCCACCTGGGGGGGGGAACAGCGACACCAGAAATCAGTTTACAATAGAGTCCCATGTGATTGCTTAGTACAGCCTAAGCAGCAGCACATGTGTGAATGAGCAAAAATCTCTGGTGTCGCAGTTGCCACCCCATTCAGCACAGAACTTATACTGAATCACCATTGAAGTCATTTTTCCAATCCTCATCTGTGATGGAAGGCATGAGCAAGGAGGATCTTAGAATGGAGCTTCAAGGTTACAGGGAGGGGGAGAGGCATCCCAAGCATCTCCTCAGCCCCCAGCCAGAGCGTGTGAAAGTTAAGAGGAGACTGGCCCCTCCCTAAGGGGTTCAGGGTTATAGTTGCTGTTGTTGGGGGTCAGAGTTAGTCTGGTGAGATTCTGTCTAATAGGTGTAAGCTAATAAAGTAACTGAACTGTTCATGGATTTATCTCGCTGTGGTTCTTGGGCTGAACCTGACATCAATCTCGCCAGACTCACTCTAACCCCCAACAACAGCAACTATAACCCTGAACCCTTTAGGGTGGGGGCTGAGGAGATGCTTGGGATGCCTCTCCCCCTCCCTGTAACCTTGAAGCTCCATTCCAAGATCCTCCTCGCTCATGCCTTCCATCACATCATCTGATGGAACACCAACTTTGTGCAAGAGGGAAATGTGCTTATGTTTCAAAAAATACATTTACAGTAGTTTCCAATAATAAGTGTACACATTCACCAACATAAGGTATCTATTCTGCTTCTATTGTGGAATGCGAAAATTCCTGCTGTTGTATTTCTACAAAACAGTCTATTTTTAAAAATGCCCTATTTTATGAAATAAACTAATTAATAACTTAGTAACTGATACAATACTAATCAAACCTTTAAATATTTATTGCACAAACAACCTACTGGAGCCTTGAGCTTATATGCTCTCCCTACTGCCCCTGAGGCATGTAAGAAGAAATTAGAAGTACTAACTACCAGTTTTCAATTAAGCAGGGTTATCCATTAATGCGAATTTCTACTAGTTTAAACTGTGATTGGTGGGAAAAGCCAGGACTGCACAACACTGATTCATTCTGGTTTGTTAGAATTACAATTAAAGCTATCCAATTTAAGCTAAACAGACTTTGATTCTGGGTATAACGGAGAATTCTAGTTAATTGGGAAAAAGAAGGTTGCAGTTTCTGGCATGGCACCTGAAAGAACAGAAAAGTGAAAGGAAGCATAAGAGCCCCAGGTTTGAGAAGGTAGTATTAAATCTAGATCACAATGCAACAAAAGGAAGTTCCGGTGTGTTCAATAGGATTTAATCCTAGGCATTTATGCCAATTTTGTAGCTTCAGTGTAAGTTCTAAAGCTGAAACAGGTTCAATTAAGGAAAAATATGCTATTGAATTTTTATATCTGAATGTATGTTTAAATATATCAAAATAGTAATATTCCAATATTATTAATTTCCAAATAAAAACATGGATTTGTTTCAACATACCACTCCCTTCACTTTCCCCCCATATCTAGATGAACCCATTTCAACTACTGTCAGTTACTGGGAAAAACACTGAAAGAGAGTGTTTTGGGAAATTTCTCAGTATGATATTTTAAAAACCTCACATCATTACTTTAAAAAGAGAATGGAAAAAAGGGACATAGCACTTAAACATTCCAGTTCCACTGGAATTTGCTTTCTAAGAGCTTTTTATTTCAGGCAGCGTTCAAGAGATTTGCTATAAATGACACTACATTCATTATTCCTCTTTTTAAAGCTATGCTGATTTATGGCAAAAAAACTGGATACCCCATAGCATGTTTTCAACACCATTTTCTTCTTTAAAAATGCAAGAGATCCATCTAAGCCTTCCTGGGAGTAACAAATCCTACACCCTGGAATGCTCTCTGGAAAACAGCAAGCAGACCGAGAAACATACTGTCATCCATGCCTCCATCTTCACCAAGTAAATAATTGTTAAATAAAGCTTGTACTTGAAGAAAAACATTATAAACAAGTAGAACTTCTAGAGCTATAGAGGAGAAAATCTAAAATGGTAATTTTATTGAAGAATCATGCAGAAATTAGGCAAGTAAGTTTTTCTGGGCATAGTGTCAGAATGTGAGAAGTCTCAGCTACTTCATTCCTGAATGTCAGACTGCTGATAAACATAAAGGAACACTGCTATTAATAAATCTGGTAACCCTGACAGTATACAACAAAGGCACAAAGAAATATCTTTAATGGAAGCTGAAAGAGAAATGATGTGAAGTATTTCAAATCAGAAATTGAATCTAACTCATCAACCTAGATCAGGCAAGATCTTCCTATCATTTGCTGGAGCCAAACTAGGAAGGAACTAGAAGCCTTGTGTAACTTTTCCCCTTCTTTCTTTTCCCCTTCTGCAGAACAATTTCATTTTGATATCAAAATGCAAAACTGTGATTTGCAGGAACAAGAACTGCAAATCAGAAGAGGGAAGGGAAGAAAGGAATGTTCAACCAAACACACGTATGGAGTAGCTAATTATATGTTAGCAGCCTGGTTTCCTTTAAATATGTTAGGATTACAGCACCCAGGATTCTCAGCCAGCATGTCCTTGCTAGCCTGGAATTGCAGCCCCAATACATCTGGAGGATAGCAGATTGGGAAAGGTTAATGTAAGCATTTTGAAGCTGATTTAGGTTTAAATCAGAGAGTCTACAATCATCATTTTCATTAATGCTGTGCAGCATGATCCTGGAAAAAGACACAGCTGTTTTAAGGTATAGCAGACAAATGTTATGTTCACATTCCACAAGCTCCACAGCACCTTTTGAATACTGAATCCAAAGCTATGTACAACTCTAATTTCTATTTTCTTGTTAAAATGTTCAGTGTTCAGAGATGCATATTTCATTTTTAGAAGGTATATATCATATAAAAGCAAATGCTTAGCTAGAATTTTTTCAGAGTCGTATTCATGAAAAAAATATGACTGAGATACCCAGAAAACAGATACTAATTTATGAAGTTATTAGAAGGTGAATAGCTTCACCTTGGTTAATTGTTGTAGATATTTGAAGAACAGGGAGAAACAAGCAGATAACTGAAGGCAGAGACAATGATTTCTTTCTAAGCCTAATATGTATTTACTTACTGATAAGTTTCGAAAGATAAAAAACTATTTCAGCTCTATTTTATAAGGAGCTTTGCAGTAGCAATTAGATGTCAAACACACTGCAAAAATCAAAGCTTGATTGACAAATCCACTTTACACTGTAAATTTCTTTTGGAATTACATGAAGGCAACGGCATATCCGAACAAATGGGATTAACATAAACATCAGGCATGTAGAACAAATCCAAAGTTCTAACTTTGCTTTGGTCTGCATATTGTTTCTGCATGTAACAATTTTATCTTTTACATGTAGACAAGTGCTTTATGATTCTCAGACTGTAGTATCTTCTCCACTCCTATAATAAGGGCCCAGTAACATTCTTCCATGAGACTTTGTTCAATATGTAGCTCAGATTTCAAGAACTGGCATGCTATTGAATTTCTTCACATATCACATTAAAAGCAAACACTTCTCATAGGATCTTCTGCTTTTCAAATTTAACAAATTATGACTATTATATAAAGATCATGAGACAGAACTAAGTACATTTTACAAATCTTACTACAAAGCAATCAAAAACAATTTTCAAATTCAAGCAAAGAGGTAAGAAATAATACCTGTAGATTAGATTATTTAGGTCACTTAAATGGAACAGTCCATGCTGTCTTTACTTACCCTGGTAAACCAGTCAGGTACCTCTCCATTTAGAGATGAAGAGCACAAGCCAGCGATTAACAAATAAATGTATTTCAACATGATCATCAGCTCTATGAAGAAAAACCACCAAACCTGTTGTGATCAGGCCCCACTTGAGTGTATTTATATTCGCCTTGGATTTTCTCCTTTTGGAAAAACTGATTCAGACGGGCTTTAGCATTCTCCAATGTCCAATTTCCATGAAGGCCAGCATTTAAATCAATTTCTTCTGACTCCAAGGTCTAGCAGCAAGAAACAATTGACTTTAAACTGTTACAAGTACTACTCTTAACTTGCTTACATGTTACTGAAAAAAAAATCTTTTAACATTCAATTATATTCTCTGATAACCAAGTGGATTATTCTCAGTAAATTTAAGATTTAATGCTAGAAATAGTTATATTCTTATTTAGAGAACTCTGAACAGATAGCAACAGGAACCCTTGAAATCTTTTTTCCTAAAACGTACAGCAATATCGTATTATAAATCAGATATATTACCACAGATTATTTGGATAGCAAAAGAGTAAAAATAACTAGACAGTATTTGTACCATCTGTTAATCAAGGAGTAAAAATTGTCAATATTTTGGCATGATTATATACAGTGTTATATATTCTAAAGGATATCTGTATTAGACTATGTTATTCTTTCTATCATTATCTTATTTTACTTAATCAAGAAAATCATAGCTCTGATGACAGACAAAATCTTTATAATGAAAATTCAGCTTGGCTAATAAATCTTAGGGAGAAAAAAAAAAACTTACAGCCTGTGCCTCCTGTTCTTCCTTTCTGGAATAATAATCCTTCAGGTTAGCTCCACGATCCCACTGAGCTCCAGGAGGAGGAGCAAAATCTAGTGATGGGGAAATAAATACTGATGATTACTAATAGCATAAAATCTGTGATGTGAATAATTTCAATATAAATGTCCAAATCTCACAAATCCTGTCCTTGTCCTGCCCTAATAATCTTCATTTGAAAGTGTGAACAATGCAGCACCCTTATTAGTAAACACAGTAATAGATATTCCCTTTCTGAGCAGCCTTCAAGATTTACTATAATTTGTGATTACATTAAATTAAAAACATGTGAAGACAGAAAAAGACAGTCCAGTGACAACTAGAAGATGCTTGTTCATTTATCTTAATAACTTCTAATAAACTAGAACAACCAGGAATAGTAGCTTAGGTCTGGGGAAAGGAGAATGTTTGACCCCCTCTGTTTACAACTTATTTAAAGTTGGTCAACTCTAACTTTTTAAATTACTTGCTCTAAGTGTGAGAGAATAAATGCCAAAGAATAAATGGAAATGTACTTTGATTTTTTCTGATCAGAAATTCCAGTTTTTCCCCAATCCCAAGGACAAGTATTTCAGTAATTTAGATTGGGGAAAAAAGAGAAACAAAAATTAAGAAAAAAATGATTTGGACCCATTTTTTACAAATTTTGTTTAACACATTGCCTGATATTTGGAGATCTCTGAGCAGGGTACAAATGAATTAAAAATACAATAAATAAATAATAGATATATCACATAAAATCAATCTAAAACCATCAACAAGAAAAAACAATGTAGAATGTTTGACATTGTAATCTATGTGAAACAACTTTTTATTAGAGGAAAACAAATTTTACAAATACTTTGTCAAGAACTCTGATGTGAATCTAGATTAAATGTAAAAAAGCAAATAAATAATTAATTCATATAACTATCATGATGGATGGGACTGAACTTCCATTGCCTAATAAGCACAGCTGTAATTTGTCTGGCAACACATGCAATGTATTGAGTGTGCAAAGGTTGAACGACTTACCCGTTTCCGATTTGAGAGCCAAATGAGGGGGAACTGGCCCACCCAAAGGAGCATCGAGTCCTTCTCCACCTTCTGCTCCAGTGACACCTCCAGCAGGAGTACCCACTGCTCCTGCCTAAGCAAGATCAAAAACTCTGTAAATTGCAAGCCTGCATTCCTGGTAAGAGTGCACTTTTCCAACCCAGAAGCACTCTCAAATAGAATTACTGTAATGCTTCCAGTCACATTTACTGCTACAAAACAAAGGTGCAAATACAACTGCATTTCTCTGCACTGATGTTGTTCGGTGTTGTGAATCTGTTGTTCTCCCCAACTCCCCAAGAAAGAATGTAGCCTTTAACCTGTGTGGTTAAAAAAGCTTAACATTTTTAAAGATACAAAATGTGCTTCATGAAATCTCAGCCTGTAATCCTGAATGCACATGAGTAAATTCCACTGAATTCTAGACAAAGTACTTTTGAATAAATGAATGCTTCTTTCCCTCCCAATGGTGTCTTATCTTTGTTTTTCTTTTCAAAATAAATTTTATATAAATTAAAATATCAAGTATCTGAAAGATATTAAACAAGTTCCACAGACAGATGCAAAAAAATACTTTGTGACTTCCAATATGGTCTCTTTTAAAACAGATTTTGAAAAAAAAGTTTCAAGTATTGTTGTTAATAAAAATACTATTTTATACTGCCTTTGCTCCCCAGACAGCAAAATGGTGTGCAAACTAAAAAAACTAAGCAACACATATGATAAAACATAACATATATTCTGCAGCTGATAGTATCGCTTACTCCAAAAGCTGGAATTTCTTCACTTTTGATTTCATTGACTCGAACAAGATAATTAAGGAAATCTCTTGCAGCATTGGTCTGAGCATCTTTCTTGTTGGTGGAATTGCCCATACCAATATAGTTGAAGCCTGTCACACGAACCTATTAAATATAAATATATTGCTAAATAAATAACTTCAGCAACATACCCGCTTGTTGTGTAAAGTTCAGAACAAAGTGCAATTTAGCATAGCATTGCAACTCTTCTTAAAGCAAATATGGTCATATAGCAAATCCTACAGCAGTTTATATTTGCAACTCCCATGGTCTGTTTCACATGAAAAGTGCAATTCAGATGAGAGTAGTAGCAATATGTATTGCTGCTCTTACCCAGCAGTGATTGCACACTTGCCCAATTCACTCTATGACCAATCTTTTCGAATTAGTCAAATGATCAATACAGGTTCTGATCATTTTCCACTATGATCCAAGTCTCTACCTCTGCTTTCTTCCCAGCAAGCTCCAGTCATGATGCAAATATAAAAAATAAACCTTCCCTTCTAAATTAGAATGTTCTAAGTATCAGATGTTAGATCATTTAAATGTTTTAGTAGTCATTTTATTATACTTTAGATATTTTTGTTTAATTTTTCAAGGTTCAAAGGTTAAGATGGGATGGGATCTGAATTAAGTAATAAGGGCATAATTTACATAAGTGTATCATTTTTTAGTATCATTAATTTAATTAAGAAGGCTAAACGCATGCTTAACTCTCCCTGAAATACAAGAATCAAAGAAGTGCTTAATCTGAACTGGTTTGTATCCTAAATAAATACACTCCATTTATATGATCTTGTTCCCTCTATTTCTGGCTGAGCCAAGTATTGTAGCTCTTCCTCTATGTAATATCAGGTAAGTTTAGATAAATCTTTGTGAAGGGAGCTGATGGATAATCACTCTGAGTTGTTGTCATTAAATGCTGACCTCACACATGAATTTCTGCCTGTTCTTGTTGCCCACAGCACGGATCTCATAAGCAGGGGTGATTTTCCGCTTGCCACACCAAGCATATAGGAAATGCTTCACATCCCCCATGGCAGAAGCAGCCTGAGGTAGACAAAACCTATGGGGTGGAAATATAAAGCATTAGATTGTCAATTTATTTGTACAGAGACAGGCCTTCTCACGAATGGAAAAACAACAACTGGTCACAGGAAAAATGTAGGAGTTGTAGTTGAAAATAATTAGTTGTGTATTCTCTCAAATGCATACACATTCAATTCCAAATAAAAACAAAGATAGGAAATCATAGCCTTATGGTTCTCATACGTAATAAAACTGTCTTTTGACATTTAAATGTTTTAGAAATTTCAAAATCATATCCAGTTGTTAAATGTTTCTATATGCTAATTTTACACTGCATCAATTTCCTATTTTACCAACAGAACTAAAGTGACACTGACAAGTATCTCTAACACCTTGCAATTCACTTTTATATCAGAAACAATTTTGGTATAAAGTCCATTAAGAGCTTTCCCACTGGTTTGTTAGCTGCTCTTTCTGATACTAGGAAAGGGTCCCTGCAATCTCAGGAAAACGTATTTCCAGCCTATTCTAGTTAAACTGTCCCCTCTATCCCCCCATTTATTCAACCCAAATCTAGTGCCCAACTGAACGGACGCGCGCGCTTTGTACTGAAATCACTTCTAGGTAGGCTTGTTCTTCTTTTAACACGGCAAATAAGATTTGATAAATCTCAGATGGATTGGTTAACTTCTTCCCACCTGACTCCAGAAATGCTGAACAATCGCAAGCAGTATGATACTACCACGTACAGTGAAAGTTGTAGCCTAATGCATATGAAGAGGGACGGCTCCTCTGCTATTCCCACCTCTGCAGAAAAAGGGCCGTGCTCCCACCCTTGACCAAGCAGCTCTACTGCGCATGCCCTTCGGCGCTTGCTTTTTTTCGCTCTTCCGTCTGCACGTGCGCGTTCTGCTCGTGCCGGTCGCGTCTGCGCACTCCCTCCCAGATTTTCTGGACTGTTTACATCCCCAAACCAACGGCCCCGTTGTGCAAAAACACATACGTATAGGTTATTAAAAAAAAAATTAGACACAACTTGATCCGGTCCGGAGAACTTTGTCTCAAGCAGGGTGAGACAGCGCGGGAGGCCCCCTGCCCTGCTCAAGTCGTTTCTCGTAGACTCCCGTTCACCGCGCGCCGCAAGATGGCGGCGGCGGCGGCGGCTTCGAGGTTGAACAGAGCAAGGCTGCACGATCGATAGCCTTGCTTTGAAGAATGTCCCTGCGGTGGAGCAAGGAGTAAAGCGCCTCCCGTGGGAAGACATAGAATTGCAGCGTGTGATAGAAACGGCGTGAATAGGCTTTCCAAATGGGAATTGTGTAATATATTCATTCATTCATTCATTCATGGAAATCACATAAAAATAAAAACTATGACTGAGAAAAAGCTTACAGAACTTGTCCCTAGGGTAATGACTAAATGATGAAATGCTAAGGGGTCATCGCAGAAGCCCTACTGGCGATACTGTACTCTTCAAATGAGAATCTACAGAAAGGGAACTCTTAGTCTTAGCAAACACAACTCTTGCGGCATCTTAAATGAATAACAAATAATGGCTTACGTGTTCAAGGACCATTTCATAGATTCATGATTGCAGGGTTGGGGAATAGGGAATGATACAGATAGCTCAAATCATAATGAAAATCTGAGGGTGCAGGTTCAACATAAGCTTATATGTATATAAAAGAAGCTTGATTTGTTTTAGGTGGCAACATAAAATTGCTAAATTATTGCCAAATTAACTTCTGCAAGTTTGTAGAATACTACTGACTTTGCTTAAGCCCAGATAGAATTAAAATTATTCTGTTTCATATTGGAGCCTTTGTAGGAATTTCTCCTGTAAGAGAATGTCATCTTTCATATTTGCAGCAGACTATTTCAAAGACATTTAAACATTCAACCAGCTTTTTCTTTATGTTCATTTATTCTATTTATATTTTCATAACAAAGTGCTCTCTTAAACATTTTGAAAGCAGAAAAACTTGGCAAATATAAAAGCATACATCAATGAACAAGCCCTGCTTTTATGTATCAATCAATTAAGTGCCATCAAGTCAGTGTTGACTTTTAGTGACCACATGGATGTACCTTCTCCAAAGATATGTCACAAAATTATTAGTTGAGGGGACGTGACAAAGCTGATTATCTAAGTCTTGTGCATTGTGATTGATGAGTAACATTTAAGATGTTGCAAGATGTAAAAGTAAGAACGTACAAGTGAAGACCCATGAAACTAAATTAGCACTGTCCAGGGTTGGCTGTAATTCAGTGATGATACACTGCAGCAGTTTGAGCTAAGAGCTGTGGATAAGTGTACGCTATGATGCTCTGTAAAATTTACCAGGTGTTAGTCTGTTTCTTCTCATTTAATTTTTCTGGGTGGAAAAGATCAAGATAAATATCCTATTCAACAAACTAGAACAAATGCAAAATATACGATTACATATATTTACAAGTCCATGTAACGTGTGAAAACCAAAGTCCCCTTTCATCAGAATCACATATTATTCATGGCAATGTTTTTTACTCCAAAACGTTGGATTTGGAATCCCAAACCGTGGTGTCCAGACACACTAATATACCCAGTAAACCCTCCTTGGTCATGAAGGGCATTATTTTAGTACACAATTTTACTCTCTCTCATAATGTGTGGGCATGCATGTGATAGTGCACTCTATCTTA